AAATGTGCAATGGCCGCGAAATTAGCATGAATAATTTCGTTATCACTCCTCCAAATTGCATGTAATTTAGTTCTGTAAATTACCGTCAGTTTATACCGCTCGGATAATAATATCAGCCCGCACAACATATATACGTTTCATTACCACAGATTTACCCACGCCCCTGTTATCTCGGTTTCTTGATACCGATCCTTTATTAGATTAATTAATCAGGTCTCTCGGAACGAGTCTCTTGATTTGGAACACACCGTATGCAAAATCAATCACCAATGAGAGCTCCTTAGCCAGACTCGATGACCATTACATCGCATTATAACACGTGTGCTGTTTACCATTATCGATATTAAATAATTATTATTATCAACATTAATGCAATCGCACGTGCATTACGAATTTAGAATTATTATGTCAACTTTTGCAAGTACATGAGAGAAATCAAATGAAATAATATTAACAGTGTCGTAAGATTACTGTATACAAAGGTGCGCAAATATGATTATTAAAGCATATTAAAAACGACACGTACTCTCTGCGGCAACTTATTTAAATCATAATGTTCACATGTAATTACACAGAGATTATCCGTCCTGACGGTGTTTTCCCGTTGAATTATCAAGATATATTTGTGAGGAAAATTTACCTACGGATAATTTACCTTTAAACATCAAAACATGATCGGTATTATTAAGCACGCGCGCATCTGCATGTTGCACTTGTTTCCCTAGTATCCCTTTGTACCCGTAACAGCGTAACCGTTTGGAGTGACCCTCGGGCAAGCGCCGTTTATCTTCCTCCCGTTTGCTTTTGCCATTAGGCTATCGAATTATCGCGCTTCTATCGAGATTACCCAGCATCCAAGGCGCGGCCAGGCACTTGTACTCCATATTGAAGATAACAGTCAGTACTGGACTGATCCGATCGCTCGATGTTCGTCGATAAACGCGCCGGTTCCAAATTTGCTTTCTCGCGAAATTATGACGTGCTCTCGATTATCACTCGATATAGAGTTCCACGCAAATTTATTGCACGTATCAGACAGAGAAGAGAGAGAGAGAATGAAACACAATAACCAACGATAGTGGAAATATGATCACTGGCGATTTATTCGTCGCAAAAATTGTTTCACACACAAGCTCGTGCTAGTGTCAGTCGCTATAATAAAATCTCCGTGACGTGGACGAGCGAATCGCGTTGTCGTGCGATATTAGAGAGAGAGAGAGAGAGAGATTCTTGGGTCTCTTCATTCTCGGTGCGCTTCACATTTCGGTTTACGTCGCGGTTTGAGCACTCCTCCCACGCCTTGAAATGCCATTCCAATTAACCAAACTCAACAGCTGAAAGTAATGCGTGAATAGGCGGAGAAATCGAATAGAGAGAGAGAGAGAGAGAGAGCGCGTCGCCGGTGGAAGCGCCGGTAACTCCATCGGCCTATTCAGATCGCGTTTCTACGTCCTTTTTCTTTTTTTTTTTTATGCTCACAAATAAAAATGTCGTTCCACGCCTGTGCGTGGACGGATACTGGACGTTCTGAAAAGAAATATTTTCCAAGCTGACTATTTCAACGGTTTGTAGCGGTTCTACGAAAACTCCGACGAATATGGATGCGTCAAATTCACATTCGCTTTATCTCGTAAGCCACGCGCGTGGCTTTATCGCTATGAAACGGCACCCGTTTCACTTGGAAAATAAATTTCTCGACCGTTCGTTCTGTCTCTTTCTCTCTCTTTCTTTCCTCTCGGTGAATACCTAAACGCTTCGCCCTTCGGCTTGAATTTTACCTCGCCGGTATATTAAGTTGCGCACACCGTGAGGCACTCGCACGACCGCGAGAGATTCCTCTTCAAATGCACTCGCGAGTACGCACGCGCGTCGCGGTTATCGAGAGTCCGTGTTCGATCGGCAGAGAGGCTGACGACACGGAGGATTGGAGATAGGAAAAGCATCCCTATAGGACCTTTATTGTAGCGCACACACTGTATGTTTCCACGTCGTCGTCATGGACGTGTCGTAGCGACGGCCGACGATTTTGACCAGTCCGAAAACTCATTAACCCGTTCTTTCTGCGAGACGTGATTATTGTTTCAGACTCGCCTTGTTTAACGCGCTGCGATTTCGCGTAAAAGCTCCCAGCGACTAACGCGGAAAAAGCAATTAAGTGAGAGAAGAGGCGGCGAGAGGGATTAAAACGTTTTGAATGAATCACGCGCGTCTCCAGCGGACCGCGGAATAATGTGCGTGGAGAAGTAGTTCGGGCAAGAGGTTTTTCCGCGCGATTCAACAAATTGGTGCGTCGCTTTGGCCGCGCCCGCGAGAGAAAAGCGTTTACCGACGGCTCGCAACGAGAGCCAGGATCGAGCAAACTGCCGCCGCGTACCCTCTCTCTCTCTGCCGTTTGGAAATAAAACAATGCACGGCGAACGAGTGTCGAAGTGGCGGCACGGACGAACCGTCAGCCAGCGGGAGAGCGACAAGAGGCCGGCGCGCGGTGATTGTGCGTGCATCATTTATTGTTGTCACGACACAATAATTCTATTTCCGGAGCGGCCCCGATTAATCATTGGCGGGCCGCGTGATCACTCAGCGCTGTTTCGAATCTATTTCCACCATTCAGACTTCCAAGTGACAGAGCGGCCGCGACCTCGCGTTGATACGCGTTGCTTCGTACCTTCGCGCTGAATAGTTTCGTATCAAGGGATTTGATTAATTCTATGCATTGTATGTCCTTCGGTCTGTGTGTGAGCATATTCTCGACGAGAGCGGGGGTGGGATCTTAGCGATTAGTCGAACTCTACCGCTTGACACACGCATCTCTCCGGCGAGCGAGCTTTACGCGAGTACTTTTGAGAAGCGCAATCTGAGCTGACCGAGGAAGAACGGAATCGCGAACAGGTAGTGCGGGCACTAATGTGTACGCATTCAGATTATCGCATTCCCGTTCACTCGGGCGATACTAACGGGCTATTTACCGATCTGTAATTACCATTTGGAGCGAGTCGGGGGGGGGGGGGATATGGTCCGCCGGCAATTTNCTCACTGTCTGCCCCGTGTGTCTACGGACACTCGATCGTCCGCTTTCCTTGCTGAATTCAATTTCCCTGAGTCCACAGCGGTGGATCGCAGGTGCGTCAAGTTACCTCGACCGGCGGAGATTGCATGTTAGCCGGAGGGAAGAAAGTTGCCGTAGTTTTTGGCCGTTGATCGATACGACCGGCTCTTGGCAAGTGCCATAAGTTTGACTTCCGCATTATCGCTGGAAACTTAAACGCGTTTGAAGTTCCGTTACTTTCGAAAGGAACGTACGCTATTTTTGATGCGTCCGTGTGAGAGCGTCCCGTGATCACGGGCTAGGGATCACGAAGTTAAGGGACGGATCCTCGTGGCGATAGCATTTTTGTATCTCTGTACTAGAATCTTCGATAAAAATGGAGAAGTATCATTGAAAAGTAAAGCATCGCTTTGATTTCGAGTTTCTATGATCTATATCTTTCTACGATATTCTACGATGCAAAGAAGATGGCGATATATCGAACCCAATAACGCTCCTCTCCATTTATACCTGGAATTCTACTCCGTACGTATGTTTGTGTGCGCAACTCTTGAGGCGCGGTTTTACAATCGGAACTCTCTGCGATATCGCAGGCGCGGTATTAATCGAAACGACGCTCGAACTCGCTTCCTCGACGCCATTCCTCGGGCTTTACGGACAGACGACGTCAGGAGCGCGCGCACATTGCGGGCGGGGGATGAGCATTAAAATAGTCCGACGGGCTCGTTCCGCGGCTCCGAGCCAAGCGCAGAAGGTCGAAGGTGTATCGATCTAGCAATTGTGCCGACGACCGCGGAGTAATCGCGATGGAGTCAATAATCCATGATCCGCTCAGCCTGGGAACAGCTCTATTCCGACGTGTAATTGGGATCAGTGCTTATCTGTTGGCGCACAGCGTGTTCCAACCTCCGACTCGCCGACCCTCCGCCGCCTCCTCGCGCATCCCTTCTTCCGACGCCTTCGTGCGGTACGTGTATACCGTGACAATATTTGTGCTGGGAATTAAAGTATCGGCCGGCCGATCCGCGTCGTGATTCGCCCCCGATTGATTTTCGCCGGGGCGATATGACTTTTCGGAACTGTGTCCGAACAATGTGGCTGTTTTTTTACAGGGGGGGGGGGGAGGACGTCTGCTCGAGNGAGAGGACGTCTGCTCGAGATTGATTCCCGGGCGCGGGGGTGTGTTACCTCGCCTGTGATATGACGTAAATGGCTTTGTTTAAATAATCCCTGTCTCCGTGAAAAGGGTGGTAGTAGGCGGGAGTGAGGGGGATGTAGCGCGAGTACATACGTTCCCGACGACGACGGCACGCCGGGGCGTAATGATATTCAGAACTTCCAGAGACTAGGGTGTGCGGTGCGCTGTCGAGAAGCGTGAACATTTCGGGATGGATACGAAGACATATTTCAGCGCGCACGTGCTCGCATCGCTCGCTCGCCCATGCACACAGTCTGCAACGTGGCGATGTGTCGCGCAAAACCAAACTGTTTCGCGTCAGTAAATCCACGACGGTGTGTGTACGCCGATACGGCGGAAATGAGTTACTTAGAGCACGCTCCGGCGTGTCACGCGTCATCCGTCGGATTCCGCGCACAGATCTTCCCAAGTTCTTCCCGACTTGCATCGTCCTTTCCGCGCGGAATTCGACGTCGGGTTCCTGTCGTGCCGGGAATTCGCGCACGAGCCCACTTATGACTCGGCAGATTGAATATTAATTCCGATTTAATCCGGCGAGATTCACGTTTTTTTCGCGTGGTGTATATATATATATATATCTCGCGATATCTCTCGCGCGAATGTCGATCGATGGCGGCGACGCGCCACAGTAAATTTCACGATGCCGATCGCGACGATCCGCCGTTATCCCCGAGCAAGCGCTCTGATAGCGTGGCCGGACGATACAACGAAATGTAGTTAATGGGTCACTTAGCATTTAACGTCGCCCTGTTTCAGAGGGACCGAGCTTCACCGCGCCAATAACAAACGTGACGGTCCCAGTGGGTAGAGAAGCTATCCTCGCCTGCGTCGTAGCGAATCTCTCTACGTACAAGGTAAGCTGCCAAGAGTACAATGCTTTTAATCTTGCAGTGCGTCGATTTCGCTACATACTTGGCGTAAACGACGGAGCGATCTCGCAGAAACAACGAGAACGGCCAAAAATACCAGCCTTGTTCCGGAAACGTCGCGCGAATAATACAGACTCGAAATTCTTTACGTGCAAATCCGACGAGAGAACCGAATAATTCGCGAACTCGATTTAAAAAATAGAACGCTCCGATAAATCGATAGAGGACGAACCGGGAAAGTTCGCCGTCGCTGGAATAAAGATGAACATTTTCCGATGCGTCGGAATCGCGGCGGCTGCGCGAATTCGCCGGGACGAAAAATGGAAAATCGTTATACACTGATAAACAAAGTTTAATTTAACTGCCAGTTACAACGGACATATCCCGCGGACTTCATTGCCGCGAATGTATTCCCCGGCACGCCGCGGAAACGTGGGAGTGCACGAATGGGTTCCCCGCGACAAACATCGTTCACCGTGAGTCCGCAAAGTCTGATGAATTAAAGTTCATTCGTCACGTGGTAAAAATTTATCCACGTCGCGCATCGCTATCGCGGCCTCGGACTCTTTGTCGTTATTGTGTACGTCGCGGATCCACAAAAAGGCGAATGCGTTTGTTAACCGACGCAATTCTGCCGGATCGAAATTTCCGTATAATAGGGCTGTGTGTCCCGATAGATATTCGCGATTTTTTCCACCTTTACCACGATTCCCACTCCAAGATAGAATCTCTTCAAAGGATCTCTCTCGGGGCGCGGGAAAGTGGCGACTCGCCTCGGAAATGTGTCAGTGGAGCGCGTCCCTGTATTCATCCTGTATCTCGTTGCCGCTGGTTTCCCCCCTTTTCTTGAAAGTATATTGCCAGGATTCCATTCTTACTTCGAACTTTTGGGGGAACGTCAAATAATGCGAGTTTCAGCATTACGTGAAAAACATTCGCCGAATTCCTGCGATGTTCACATTCTCAAGGCGCTGCGAATTCCCCGAGCGGCGGATCACATATTTCGCGAGCCGGCAGCGCAGTTTTGGAAAAGCTCCGTTTCCCACCGGCGGCTGCGGTGGCCGGGAGTATTGCGTCCTGCAAACTGATATTAAACGCGGCGCGAGATGCTCGCTACGCGGGTGCGTATGATATCGCGTGTTCGAGCGATACGACGGTGACATGATCAAATCTACTCGTAACTTGTACTCGTAAGAATTTCGACGCGTCGCGCTCCCTCGGATGGAAAAATACTCCGAGACGGATTTTACGAGAGAGAGAGAGAGAGAGAGAGAAAGGGTTCCTCACGCGCGCGCGCACACGACGAGATCGAATAAAATGCAAAAATTTGGGACAATGAAGGAAAGCGGGAGAATAGTGTGAGAACGCTCCGGTAATCGCGTATGAATGTGCAAATATTTGGAAAGTGGCCTGTTTGACAGACTTAGAACGGGGCTTAGCTTAAGTACGTCAGATTAAGCCAGGATATTGCGCAATTACGGCCTGCAGAGGACGAAAAGCGTTCATATCGCGCTCTCGCGCTTCCTTCGTAGCTTACCTAACACCATAACGCCCGGAATAGCGTTTTAATCTCAAAATATATTATTCGGAAATTAAAGGGGCCCGACGACGAGGCGGTGGCGAGACGATGCCGCCGTGCGGTAAGCAGAAGAGACCTTGAAGACTGTCTCGGAAGAAAATTCGTTGTAATTATACGCGATTGTGCTGCAATTAGCGGATACACGGCATATTACACTTTATTCGTGGGAAGATGTATACTTGGCGGTAACGTAACAACCGTGATATCCTTATTATTCCTCGGTTGCTTAAACGTTTAATACGTATATATTCAGCGGGATATAGTAAATCTTCCGTACCCGGCGGTTGTTTAAAGTACGAACGACGCATCTCCGTAGTCCTCGTTTAACCGTCAAATTGCCGCAAACCTCGCCGGAACTTCCATCCCGGAGTAGCTCCGCTCCTGGACCATAATTCGACAACAGAGCGAGTCTTAAATGGGTAGCGTGGCGAAGATTTGCAGCGCCTTAAACGACAGTAAGCGGCGAAAGTTTACTGCATGCGGCTGGCTCGTTCAACTCCGCCTTCTCCTTCCGTACGGGCTATAGCTAGACGATGAGGCAGGAATCGGCCCGGCATTCGTTCTCGGGGCATCCGAAATGAGAGGCGTATCTCATCCGATAAGAGCGGAATTTATTTAGGAAAATATGCGCGACATTCTCGAGCAAATGGAATCCCGATGATCGTTTCTTTCATCTCGGACAAAAGCGCGTGCTCCTTCGTCGCGCCGAAGATTCCTCCGAGAGCCAGCCAGCTGCTTCCTCGCGAGGCCGCCGAACGACCGCTTCTTCCTTGCATCGAAATAATTCGCCGTCGAGCCGGGTCGATCTTTCGGCCGCGTTGCGAGAAATAGGAAATTCCATTTTGATCGCGGCGCGAGGGTCGTGTCGCCCTTGTAATCTCACGGTGCTCGAAATGATATATCGCCGGATGCAGGAAGTCAAAGGGCGAGATCGGTATATTCAGGCGTGTCAAGAAAGCGTCACGTAATACCCTAATGTTATTTTGCATCACGTATTACGCTGGCCGCCTAAATTTCGCCGCAAACAAGTTCGTCCCCCTAGCTCGCTCGCGCGGGAGGCTTGTTCGCGCAGGCAGTTATGAGTAAGTGGTGAGGAGAAGGTGAGACGGGGTCGACCCCGTGTGATGTAGGGTCCTCCGCGTGTTGGTACACGTGAATGTTAATCAGAATGGGATTTACATATGAGGCTCGTATTACCTGGTAGTCGGGCAGATGCACCGGGAGGAGAAGATAACGGCCTCTAGAGAGAATGGAGGGGGGATTTAGGAGGTTGAGGGCTGCGTCGGTGTGTCGGCCGCAAGAGTCACACGCAGCCTATCTGTAATAACGTGCCACGTAAGACATAATTATATATCACGCCGGGATTATTGCCGCATTTACACTACGCCGCGCTAACAATGAGGATTCGACAATGTTGGCTCCCGTATTACGTAACTACGGGGGCGCGACGATATATCTCGTCATTCTACGCGACTCGATTGTACGCGACAAAGTCATCTCTCTCTCTCTCACACACATTTCCTCTCCAGGCTCTGTTTTGCCGTTGAACGACGGTAGATAATAATTATATAGCTGCACGATCGTAAACCAACGTTACGATTATTATCTCCTTTACGCGTTAAGCGTTGGCGGCTCTCCGTGCGTCGCCGGGATGACTGAAGGGCGATGTCATCGCGTTGAAAAATTGTCTTCTGATTACGCTTTAATCGAACTTCTGAATTATTGATTGGAGTTTCATGCAAATTCGGAGACCCATAATGGTAGCCATCAAGCGGTTAATCACATTTTGTGCGATCGATACTTGCCGACTATTACTCGCCGCTCTTAGCTATACCATCGCGGCTACGACTAATTTCGTTTGAATGATATCGAAAGTGCGGAATGAAAAAAAAGGGAGGAGACAGAGAGGGAAAGAGAGAGACATGGAGCTATATTACCGGTTGGGGAAATGCTTACGCTATGCGGGTTTGGGGACGATGCTATCTGCGCGATATTCGATATCATTATCCGCTGATGTTGGGTATATTATTGTCCTCCTATGTCATCCGTGTAACACTATATCGCTAATCTCTTCGCTAATGTGTCGCGAAATATTGATCTGATGTATATGATATGAAATTCGTCCAAAGAGTTACAATTTCAATTATTGGTTGACTCGATAATTAGAAACTCTCTCTCTCTCGAAATATTTTGAAAGTCCGACCGCTTATCGAAAGCGTCGATTCGTGCGTCTTTCACCCGGTGGTCTCAGCGGACGATTTTCACGATCGTCTGAGAGAGACGGGCGAGATACTTCTCGCGATGGAGAACTTCAGCGACCGAGACACACAACAATAGATAGTCACGACTGTCCGACGGTTATTACCGTTGTCTGCATATTGTCACGCTCCTAGTCTCTCATTCGCTAAGCTCGCCGCCAGTCTCTGGCGTATGTTCGCGTCCTCGCGCAATCACCGTGACGCAGTTCAGCCCTTGCAGGGCAGACTTAAGGCGCTGTTTCTGACGTCCGCGCATATAACTTTCGGATTCATTTTCAGATACCGTGCGCCCCCGTGTTTCCATATATAGACGCATCCTCTCGGTCGGAAACTATTCCCGTCATCATCGCGTATTAACGAATTCTCCTCGATCGGAAGAAAGGAGACTCTTCTGTTATCGCGAGCGTGATCTATTTGAGGAAACGCCACCTTGAACGCGAAAACTTTATACCTCGTTCGAGGGAAATCACGTTTCTTCTCTCGAGAAAGCAGAAGTAGCCAGTGGTCCGGGCAGGAGCCATCGAAATAAACGGAACGACTTAACTTGGCGTTTCGGTGCATTTCGGGAAACCGTGAAAACGAGACATCTGATCGAGAGAGAGAAAGAGAGAGAGCGCCGTACCGATCCCACGTGGCCACTTCCCTTTAGATTACATCCGCACCCGTCTCGTAATCCTCCGCGCAGGACATCACCCGCGGCATCGTACCATCCTGGGGAAAGTACAAGCAGACGTCCGTTTGTAACCCGCGAGCGTTTTCATGACCCTCTTAAAATCGGTCGAGCTTACTCGGTGGTTACTTACGTCGTCGTCGTCGTCGTGGCATCGGGTCAGGCGAGTTTATGTGCGGCACACCGGTCGTACCGGCCCGTTACCGGAATCTTGGACGCGGACATCGGATCGTCGTCCGAGAAAATTACACCGCGGAAAACAAGTCTGCTGAAGTATTCATCGCGCGTAATGGAAGGGCGCTACTAATTCAACCAGTTGCTGCTGAACGCGCGTACGTATGTGTGTAAATAGGTGCACACACGTGCGTCCACCGTGTGCACTTTGGAGCGTGTGTGAGCGTGGGCACGCGCCCGCGCTATGTGAAATATTGACTCTTCCTGGCCGAGCTCGCGTGCCCAAACTTTATCAGGATCGAAA